TGATTTATGTTTTTCCTTTTGAATTCGTATGCATTCATCTGAAAATTTTGGGATTACATACTATTTTATAGAGATTCTCTATTCCAGTACTCTTTGCTTAATTAGTTACAGAGAGTCGCATATTCACATTTGCTTAATTAATCTTGCTTCATTATTATTATTATTATTATTTTGCAATCCCTTGCTTATTTGCTATGTCAAAGAATGATGATAACGATGATGTTTATGAATGATAAAAATCCCTTTTTTTTTATTTTCAATTAATTAATCAAGTGATGCTTATTTGCTTAAATTAATTGCTTATTGATTCTTAATTTTTGTATTGTTATTAATTTTTGCTTCTTGATTCATGCGTTGATTTATTGAAGTAAGATTACATTGCTTATCTGCTATGTCAAAGAATGATGATGATGATGATGTTAAAGAAATGAAGAATGATAAAATCTCTTTTTTATTTTCAATTAATTAATAAAATGATACTTATTTGCTCAAATTAATTGCTTCTTGATTATTAATTTTTTGTATTTTTTGCACATCCTAATTTATGTTTTTTTTTCATATTTTTATGTATTTATTGTGTTTTTTTTCAGTATTTTTTGTATTTTCTATGTATTCTGTACTTTATTACTTTTGTATTTAGATAGTTTTAGTTTTCTGTATTTTATTTAATTTTATGCTATTTTTTATTATTTATAAATATTTTTTATTTTTAATTGATTTATGATACTACGGGTCGAACGATTCGACCCAAATGGTTGAATGGCCGAACCGAAAATGGACCCCTAACCGGTTTTGTTTCTGGGTCAGTTTTAAAACCTTGCCCTAATCAATCAAAACCCACCTATGAATTTTGATAAACACCCATGATTCGCTACTGCATATATGATACCAATTGATTGATCACAAAATTTTTAGATATTATATATTTTTCATATCATAGTCGAACCCCTAACTTTAACACCTTAAATCCCAGTCTCGGTGGATCCCACCTTAGAGAAGTAAAACATTTATCGTTCGCTATAGGTAAAATAAAATTAAAGTAGTATTTTAAATACAAGTATTGTTATGAGTGATGTGTTTCATATCACCAACTTAATTTTATTGAGAAATTGGTGATTGAAAGAGAAGGATAATGATGTTGTGTTTTATCAACGATAGTGATTGCAGAACCATACGCCATTGACACAACTCACAAGTTGATCAACTAATAAATGTTAGGCACAATAATTTCAGATCCAGACTGTATTTTTTTGTTGTAGAAGTTTCAGTTATTTTCTTATTTTATCAAATGATTAAATGATGTAGTGTTTGGTCTTGATTGTCTTCATTATAATTAATTAATTTTATATGAATGAATATTTGATTGCCCTAAGTTAGAGAATAAATACCTAACCTATTCAATGGTTAGTGGTCTTTCTAGGTTCCGAATAAATAAAGATTTTCACGGTATATTGGATGGACTAATCGTAAGGTTAATTAAAAAACCCATAACCTGTAGAGCATTAATTCTAGCTTTTAGTCCAATCTAATTATCCAAACCTTACAACACTAATCTAGCTATCATCATATTTGTATAATTATTTGACCTTATTAATACAAACAAAATCAAATAGAGGTAGGCAGCTAGCCCTTTTAGTAATAAATATGAGTATGGTTACAAATATGTCAATTTCATTTCACAACAGTTCTGGATCTTGGATCCATGACTGTAGCATCTCTTGTACATGTTTTGAGGCTGTGTTATGTATGTAGATAAATCCATTATCTAAAGGTAAAAAATATAAATTATTTTTCAGAAAAGCCCATACCAATTTGCATAGAAACCTAGCTAGAAAGGGATGATGCATGTAATTGACAATTGCGTATCAATCTTACTGACTCAAAAAATGTATTTTAATAATTGAGCTCATTTGTTTCCTTCTGTATTTGTTTGTTTTGATGGGAAAATTGGATGAGAAAAGAACATGTATTGGATTACCTCCCTAAAAGAAAGGCAGTTTTGTTGACAATTTAGGTATGAATTACTTTTCTGTCAAGAAATCTCATTTCATAGTCGACCATCCGTTTTAAATAAGCCATTTAGTTATTATTAAATATTAGGGTCAAACTTTGAATTTGAACGTTGGGCCACTTAAAGCACGGCTAAAGTTTCAAAGTTAATAATAATAATAATAATAGACAATTGGATCTATGATGTATAAAACAAATATTTGTCTTAGTTTTGGTGTAAGCCGTAAAAGTTAAAATTGATTATATATTAACTTGTATCTTTATTTTTTATTTATACACATATATAATACATGTTCTTACACTAATATTATATATAATACAAAAATCCTAACCATGTACAAGCTATGGCCCTTGTCATGGGTACTATGCATGGTTTAGGCCTGTAAAATGGGCATGAAAATTTTTAGACATAAACACTTTGTTAGTGTTAATTTCACTTTTATAGTAGAGCAAAAGCTTTGCTTTTTAGTCCATCTAGTTGCTTTGATATAAATAGCAAGGAAAACAATTTTTAAGGGAATAACTTATATTGTTAAGGTTTTGTAATTAAGTGTGGCCTGTTAAAGTATTTGGCATTGATGCTGTTTTATCAAAAAACAATGCCATGTAGATACCACATTAGAGAAAGTGGTGTTTCAAATAATGCCCTCTTGTTTGGTGCCGTTTTTCTATAAAAAAAATATTGTTCTAAAACACGCTTTGAAAATCGGGAAAGTATGGTATGGAGCAACGTCAAATTCAATATTTTATGAGAAAATGGTGTATTATTGCCAGTAGTGCAATGACATGGAATCATACTGGACGGTGGATATTTCAAAACAATGTTGAAAATGTTGCTACCAGTACTGATATCAAACAAAACCAGTTCTATTTTCTCATAAAACGTCTATGTGACAGCACCGGTTCCAAACAAAGATAAGCCGAACACCTTCTCAATGATGAGGCTGGACAAGATTTCTTATTTTACAATTTATAATAAATACATTTTAAATATCTTGTTTGCCCATATTTAATATACAATAAATAGCAGCAAAAGGTCCAGAAAATATTGTAGGAGCATTTAGTATGAACCTATTAATGACTTGTTAGTTTAGGGGTTATTCGGTATTGTGGCTCAATAAAACGTGGAGTGTTTCAATCTATTGGACCGCATCGTGAAGGTGAAAGGCGAAGTGGTTGAAACTATACCACATGAACCACACCACTCTCTTGTGAAGACATTCTGCACCGTTTGTGTGGATAATGTAGATGCTTTTGTCAAACAATTTTTTTATTAAGTATATTAGAAATTCAAATTATTATAAGATTTTATATAAATAATTATATTTGTTATGGTGTGAATTGGTTCATAGGATTTAAATAAATTGCAATATGATCCAACTGAGTTACATGTTAAATGAACACTGCTTTTTTTCAATGTGTTATGAATCGAAATCAACTTTTTTTAAATAAACTACACTACCGAATAACCCCTTAGTTGATCACTCAGCATCCCTAACAAGGGTTGAAACCTATGAAAAAGGACAGGTTCCATAGAGTGAGACTGAGTGCTAATGGGCCATCAGGCCCACCACTAATCCACTAAACCGCAAACTGGGTCGTCCATATGACACCATGCCTATATGGGCCCATACCTTCTTAAGAATGCTGTTTTGCCCAATTAATTATCTTATCGTTTTAAAAGATTCCAGTACTTTATTTTATTGATAGTCCAATCAGGTTCAATAACCATCCATTAGACCTGTTTATGGGCCGGGTCGGGTCGGGCTTTCACTTGTCACTAATGAACATATACTAGGCTCGAGCCCGAGCCCGGCCCGACCAACGGGCCTATAATTTGGGCCCGAGCCCGGCCCTGGTAAAAAGTCCGAAGCCCGACCAAATTGAAAAAAAACAATTTTCCCTATTCAAATTAGAATTAAAATTTCAGATAAGTATTTTTTTTTCTATTTAAATGAACAATGGGCCTACAAGATGGTATTTTTTCCTTTCTTTTATATTTTAAAACACAATTTTACATTCGGGCTATTTTGACAAAACCCGAACCCGGCTCGAATTTATTGCGGGCCGGGCTTTTTAGCCCGAATTTAAGCCCGCGGGCCTATAAAAATGTCCAAGCCCGTCCGGGAGTCGGGCCAGGCCGGGCCGGCCCGTCGGGCCACCCGGCCCATGAACAGGTCTACCATCCATCCATCCCAAATCTCCGAAACGGACAAAGGGTAGATCTGAATCATCTGATGAGGAGGATTCCGGGTCCGGGTCACTACATGCCAAAGTGCGCAGAACAACCCGATCCATTGTAAGAAGGTTCAAGCAGTTGAAGCGGGGCCCACAAGCTGAGGTGGGTTTGGGTGTTTTAACCGGCTACATCGACTAGGTGCCCGGATCTGCTCCTCACCGTCCAACAGGCCCCTCAGATTCTTCCAATCACGAGGCATATGTTGGACGGCTTAGATATTCTCAAATGACATTCCTCAGACCTTAATATGGGAGCGCCGCACATGCACGATGGACATGCCACGTGGTGATTACATGCTCCTCCCACCTGGAGATCTATGTAGGGAATCTACAGCCATCTGATAGGTCAATTAGGGTATAATGTTAGAGACACGTGTACGGTGGTTCTCACTTATTCTCACAGCTGACAGCAAAATGCGTTTACGTTGTCGTACACCTGAATTTTATCCCTAAATGGGCTTCTAAAGCTTCTTCTTTTGCATAGAAAAATCGAGTTTAAGCAAAAGGAACAATATTATCTAAATCCAAAACCTTAATTTATATTAATTAATTAGTAATTTATAATAATATACAAAACGACAGAAGCTGCATTGTGGGGCTTACACTTTGAACTGACCTTAATAACCCCACTATTTTTACACAAAGACATGTTCTGTCTACAAAGATAGACTGTCTTTCTAGCTAAAGATGCAGTACATAGCTACCTTACCTATTATCTCATTATCTGTAGGTAATTAAGTAGAAGAATAACAGGGAGGGCGCACAAAGGAGTAAACAAAGCGTTTTGCTTTGGCGTGAAAACGAAGGCATAAAGGACGAGATTGGGTTTTAGCTCTTCAAGGGTCTCTTCAATGGCGCCCACTGAATGTCTGAAATCTCTTCCTTCGACCTGGTTTTAAGATTCTGGAGATCTTCTGACTGCTGTTACTCTCTTCGGAAACTCTGTTTCGTTTTAAATCTGAGCTGAGTTGACTCGGTAGAGAGTGCGAAAAGGGGGACGTTGTCTGCGTTTTTCTTTCTTTTTTCGTTTTTTTTTTCGACTGTGTTTTTGTAAGGGGTTATGATTCGAAGAAAAGTGATGAGTTGGAGGAGAGTCGCAAAATCTGTTCAGGCTCTCGCGGCCCATGGATTACTCTTTATTTTCACGATACTGCTCGTGCTCAAGCTCGATCATGTCGTCCATTGCTCATGGTGGTCAGTGATTCGTCAAACTTCTTCTTGGCTATGTGAAAAAAAAAAGTTTGATCTTGTTTTTTTTTTCCATTTTCGGAATTGTTTTGTGCTGTATGATTTAATTATGGTCGAAATTTGTAGAGATTCATGAAATTATTGGTCCTGGTTACTGTTGGGCTTGCATAAATTTTGTTTATTTGTGGTGTTTTGAGTTCAATTAGAGATTATGTAATGAGATTTTGGTTATCGAGTACTATTTAATTGACTGCTTAATAAAAATGTTTTCTTAGTAAATTTATACTGAGTCATTGTTTTTCTGATTTCTATTTGCAGTCTAAAACTTCTTGGTTCTATGTTCTGATCGTTGTTATATCTTTTTTATTTGAAGTTTAGGGTATTTGTGTCCTGTTTGAATTAAACCTCCTTTTATAGAAGTTTTAGTGCATTGCATGTGCTGTTTGGTGAAATGTTTCTGTGAGTAGTTATAGTATTAAAAAACTAGTACAATTTTGTGTTCTTGGATGTATGTCCGATGCAACTATGGCCTGTGAGAAATTGACTAAATAATGTTAATTTTAACTGTCTGATATGTCTTTTATTTAAATATGTTCCTATGGTTTTCTTCGGGGTGAAAATCCCATGATCTAATTGGCAATACATTTTGTTTAATGTTTCTAGGCAAATGTCAATGTGGCCTTTGAGGAATTTCACGCATGAATTGGTTCATGAATTATCAATATCTTCTTTTAGGGGACTCTTATAAAATTGTATGTTATTTCTTTATTTATCTTTTCAGTATATCCTAGCTATCAGATAGACTTTTGGTTAACGTTGTCTTTGTATGGTAGGCAGGAAACCCATTGATGTTATTTGTTCTGAACAGTAATGCTAGGAATATTGATCTTTTTCTTTTGTTATCAATGCCTGCTAAGAGTATTCCAGTCTGGGTTTTGGCTTCTCTTGCTTGGAGGTTGTTCTTGCATAGTCTTGTACGTGATGGTCTTCAATTTAATAATTAATGAAAAAGACTCCCATTTTAACGTAAATAACAGAAAATGGGATACGTCTCTCTCCCCCCTCCTCTTCTCAAAGAAAAAGAACCTCTGCTTCTCTTGTGAAGGTGTTGATGGGTACTATTGAGTGTGTTTTCTATCTCAAATTTTCAAATGATTCAATTGTAATTATGTTTCTTTTTACCAGGGATTTATGCTTTATCTGGAAAGAAGAAAATGATTTATTTTTACACTTGGAAGCTTATGATGGAATAGACTCCAGCGATGTTGATTTCATAAATATGAGACAAGCTTGAGGTTTGGGCCTCAAGTGTGCTTTTTGAGTGACATAACCTTCTTCATATTTAAATTTATAGCAAACAAGAGGATGTGGTGGGATCACAAGGACATGTTGTCTGTGTAAGCTTGTATTTTGCAGCAAAACTATTCTTTGTCAATGGAAAAAAGAGCTAACCTGGAAAACTAATGGGGCAGTTACATTTTAATAGGGGTGCAAGCCAGGCGGGTTGGGCTGTGTGTATGGTCAACCCAGGCCCAACCCTAAATTTTGGGCTTAAGGCCCAAGCCAAGACCGAGCCTGAGGTTAAGCCCCTTCCCAACCTGAGCCCAGCTTGCACTGTAATTTGACGCACTCAGGTTGGGCTCGGGTTGGTCAATGAACCCGCTATAAAATTATATATGTATATATGCTTTTATGTAAATATGTATACATATATGTATGTTTATATGTAAATATATATGCAACTATGTATGTATATAGGTAAATATGTATACAAATGTATATACGTACAAATATATATGTATGAATGTGTATAGTTGGGCTGCGCTCGAGCTGGGTTTGAGCTACCTAAGGGCTAGGCCCGGCCTGGTCCGAAAAATAAAAAGCCCGACTTCTTGAGCCTGAGCCCATCCCGAGGACTGAAAACCCAAGCCCAGACCGTGTAAAATTTTGGGCTGACCGCCCAAGTTGCACCCCTACCTTTTTTTTTTTGATAAATGAAGAATTTATTAGGGAAAGAAAATAGAAGCAACTTTTACAGGAGACACTTGGAGAGGCACGAGGTGCAACCTCTCCAACCCTACAAACACTTAAAAAAGATTACAATTGAACCCAATACAAATGTTCCCTTGTTGCCCCTTGCTTGGCTAAACAGTCAGCCATAGCATTAGCAGATCTCCCTACCCTATTCTAACATACAAGTTTCTCGTCAAACATTTGAATCTTTTAAGTTCATTTCTGAAGCACCAAGCTACAGTCTCTGGATTCTGTAACCACCCCACGATCACCTTCTATTAGTATCTGCTCCACTCCTATCTGTACAGAAAACTGTACCCCTTGTAGTGCAGTCCCCTCACCTAAAGGACCTGAAAAAAGAAGAGCCACAGAACCACTTCCATTCCTTATAACCCCTCCCATCCCAGAAGGGCGGCCTGGGTTGCCCAAGCTACTCCCATCAAAATTTAATTTCAGGAAGCCTTCAGGTGGAGGTACTCAGCTCATGGGCAACTTTGTCTTCAATGAAGAACTGCTTGCCACTTCTGCCCAATGCCTCCACATGTCATTAAAAGAAAACTGCTGAAATAACTCCGAAGATTTTAGCCACACTATAGCCGTATACAGGATACAGTCCTTCAAATCTTGTTGGCTTCGCACCTTCTCTTGGAATATTCGGGCATTCCTTTCTTCCCACACTGTCCAAAGCARWGCTGCTCTTGCAACCCTCCACATTATTCTTCCTCTTTGATGGCACAAAGCAAAGGTAGAAGGGCCAAAAAGTAAGCTTASATCTGCTGGTCTATTCCACCTGCATCCAAAAATCAAGAAGAGCCAATCCCACAAATCTGCTGTAACAGTACAGGAAATTAGCAAGTTTCTTGCTAATGTAGATTAGCACCAAACCTTTCCCATAAAAACACTTCCCAACAGAAAGCCAAGACCTTAGGGGGAACAGGTTTGCACCAAACCTCCTTAAAAGGGAAAGGAGGAGCAGACAAAGAATGACAAAGGGCTTTGTCCAAGACTTGAATAGATTATCACCAAGTTTCTTGCTAATGTTTCAATCCCAAGAGAATGAATAGATGAAATTTATCTTAATCTGTCCAAGACTTGAAGTAGATGACTAAGGTATAGAAGATAGGGCTGAAATGGCTTTTTGTTGTGTGGTCCCACTCTTAGAAGCCGAACCTCTGCTGTATTCTTGTTTATCTTTGAAGGCTTCATTTACTTCATCAATATTGATTGATGAATTTTGTGAGGGAAGACTAACTGTTTTGCAAACTATGATACCCAGATACCTGTATATGTAACATGCCTAGCGTACTAGTGTTATATTCAATACTTATTGGAAATGATTCTGGATACTGCATGGATACTTCTTGATGTACTCTATAGCATTAATGCTTTTAAAATATGTAGATTGGTATGCTTTAACAAATTATGTTATAAAATATCTGCACATGTTAGTAATTAAATTTAGCAAGACATAAGTCTTGAGAAATGTAGTTGGGTTGGTCTCTATAAGAGGGTAAGGAAGACGAATAAAACTATCAAGAGAAGTAAAGAGATTCATGCTACAGCATTTGAGGATTTGGAGTAATCTGGTAATTTTGTTATGCAGATGTAGTTGGGGTTTTGATTGTTTGGGTATAAAACCTTTATTAGTATGGGTTGTTGGGTTTTTAAGGGTAGGGTGAATAGCTGGTAATGCATGCTTGTACTCTCCCATTCGTGAGATGAGAGGGAGTTTAGATGTTCTCTTACCTGTATCTGTGTCTGGAATTCCTTGATAGGGGTTTTCCTAGATGATGTCTGGTGGGATGAGAGGGTGTTCAGATGTTCTCTTACCTGTATCTGTGTCTGGAATTTTAGGAAATGGAGAGTTGAATTCCATTTCTGGATTTCCCATATCCGTGTTTGTGTCCTATCTTTGTATCTGGGCATCATAGTTTGCAAGCCTAATCAAGATCTGCAATTTCATTTTCTGTACTTCCTGATATTCAGGGTTTCAGACATGGGGTTTAGGGTAGTTAAGGGGTGATAGTCATAGAGTTAGTGTTTCATTTGTCCAACCCTCCAAGGTACCATTCAGTGTAGTTCAGTGAATACCTTTTAAATACCTACCTGGCTACCTGCATTGTTGATTGTATTCAAAATTTGAATTTATTGCACCATTACTCCAGCCAGCATTACCTTTTTCATGTATCTCAAAGATCCAAATAATCATTTCTTTTCAATTCTTTTTTTTTTCAACCACATGGATGCCCTTGACATGTCTTGTTTTAATAATATTTTTTTTTGATCAATAACAGAACAAGTTTATTAACAATTTGACAACTGATACAAGAGAAGAGCAGAGGGATAAGCCATCTTAACCCTCCTCAACAAGAAGCACAAACTTACAATAAAGCCCAAAACAAGTTACCCCTTTCCACCCCTTGTTTAGAAAGTACATTGGCAAAGGAGTTAGCATTCTTTGTTGTTCAAAGCTTACTTTTATTTGAAAATTTAAAAGGAAAATATCACTCCAATCAACCACACTATGTGGCCTCATTTTGAGACAGGATCTGGCACTGCAGTCTGTCCCATTGAATTATGGTGAACTACCAAAAATGAGTACCCCATCACTGTCAGTTTGGTGCCCTTGAATTGTTCTGGTACCACCTCTTGTTAACACAGTCCCACATTCAATCTTGGTTTCTCATGCTTCCCTTTCAACCCCAGAATGATAGGTCATAGGTGGCTGGAATATTAAAAAGTATTTTAGAATGTTTGCAATTTAGTACAGTACACTTCCTTTACTTAGTGATAGATGGTGATGGCTTCTGTTCTAGGATAGGGTCACATTTCATTTGCATGCCTTCTTTGATAACAAGTAAGCCTTTTCTCTTTACAACTGTTTCAGCTCCAACAAGTTTGATATCATGATTATTACAGAGTTGGTTAAAAAAACTATCAACCAGGCTGGCTTTTAAGATCCATTTTGGTGTTCTCCAGTCCATTCCAATATGAAAGAAGTAACTTGTTAAACATTCTATTTTCTTTTTTTTTTTTTTTTTAAATATTACTTGTTGTACATAGCTCTTTGACATAAAGTTAATTGTGAACACTCCGGTGAATGCATGAGGTACCAAATAAATGTCTTTTTGCACAGAATGGCATATTAACTAGTGACAAAATTCTTGAAGTCCAGGATTGACAAGCTGTTTAGTGAATAGCATTTGCAGATATTTAGGGCCATGCTACACCCTAGGTATTTTAGTAAATCGTCCTTTATAACCTAAAAAACAAAAAACTTGACATGGAATTTATTATGGGATGCTCTTGATGATTTTCTTTACATGGGGGCTTGTATAGTTGTATTTGTCTCTTTACCTTCTTATTAACATCTACTTTATACTGTTAATATCAAAAAATAATTAAGAATAGTTTTTTCCTATGAACTGTCCATTGTGGTGAGCAAAACGAATTTGAAGGATCATATTTGGAGATTATTCTGTCATTTGTGTTGCTCATTTTAGGAGATAATAATACGTTTGCACTGTGTCAATGGCTTCTTTGTCATCCACATGACAGCAATCCCTTGAGAGACATCCTTCTCTCTCTCTCTCTCTCTCTCCCCACCCTCTTCCCCCAACTGCCCTTTTGAGGTACCTATTAGATATGTTAACTATTTTAATTATATACATACATACATACACACACCCACGTATATATTCAAAACTGTGACAGTTAAAAGATTCAAACACCAGAATAACTGCAGAACTGTGACAGTTTCAATGGTTTTTGATAGATCGAGGGGAGGCCTATTTGGGGTCAGAAATAAGAAAAGAGTAAAGAAGACAAGAAGGGCCTTGAAGAGCAAAAAAGAGGTTACTCTTTCAATAGAGGAAGGTCTGAAATGAAGGAGTCCTAATATTAGTCTCGGGAAAGGGATTCTGTCAGGGTGGTATTTAGGCTGGGGTTTGGATGATGGGAGGAAAGGATAAGTTAGGGGCTTCGGTTATATCTTTGGGGTTCAGGTGGTGGGTGGTTTTGAGGGTTTACTTGGTTTTGGCTTATGGGGTGGTTAGGTTGATTTATGGGACCATGTGAAGGTGTGCTCCCACCCCTCTTTCTCTCTGAGAAATTAGAGCCTTAGAGGAGCAATTTTGGCATTTTTTTTGTCTTTTTGACAACTGGCCTACACATTTTCTCTTGAGTTGTCTGTGGTGGGGTTGGGGTGTAAACAATCTCCAGCAATTGCAATTGGTTATAAAAAGGAGAACATTCTTTAATTACATAGATATTAAATTGGTTGGCATGCATAAGATTATCTGTTGAAATACTTGTAATAAGTAAATACAATCACAAGCGAATCTCTAGATTAGTTATTAGCTTGCCAACTGATCCAGCAATGCCATGGAGAATATGCACAAGCACAAAAAACCCATTTTTATACATAAACATCTTTCAGGCATGTTTTTGAACAGTACCAATTGTCATGCTTATATACAAATCTATGATGTTATTTATTGGGATTGATGCTTGGTTATTGAAAACTTCCTAGTGGTAGCTATGTTCCAGAAAGTAATAAAAAACATAATTTCATCTTTTCTTGTGAGTCTTTCTAGCTGCCACTTTGCTGTGCAAGTTGCTTGTATTTTAATATGTTGATAAATGGTGATGTTACAATGCTGGAGCTGGGCATGATGACCAATTTCATGCAAAAGCATAAAGCATTTTTTTTTCCTATTTTTCTCATGTTTGCATTTGACTCTTGGGTGGTTACTAGTTTCAGATTTTACCATGCAGGTTCATTTTTGCCCCACTTTGGCTATTTCATGCAGTTGTTGCACGAGGCAGATTCTCTTTACCTGCTCCCTCGTTACCTCATGATCGCCATGTATGAATTAATGCACCCATGTAACTTCTTAGAACAAATTTTGTTTTAAGTCAATGAATTTTAATATTCACGTGTAATAAGACTTTCCCCCTCCTCTCTATGATACTGTATGATGACAGTGGATTATATGTATTTCTTTTTCTTGGACAGTGGGCACCCTGTCATTCCATTGTTGCGACACCGTTGCTCGTTGCATTTGAGCTGCTCCTTTGTTTATATCTCGAGAGCATCTATGGTACAGATGCAACAACCTAATAACACAGTTGAGGATTGTGCATTATTGGATATTTTGGAGGGTTGACAATTACTTAATCTTCATGTTTGATATTTTATTTCTAAATTCCATGTGCATGGGCAACACCCTTGACAGCAAAAAATGGTAAATGAATTTTGACTTTGTGGTTCCATTTGTTTGCAATGGAAATTTCTTTTCTGGTGTAAATGCACGAGAGTGCAAACTTTGGTTCATTTTTTATTCAAATTATACTTTTTTTTTGGGAGAGTAATGTGAAGAAAAGTGCTGTGTTACCCACTTTATATAGGAAAGAATGAAGGTGGGAGGAAGGTGATGCAAAAATTGCACCAGTTTGTAGGATGCAAATTTGCACTGCCAGTGAGTTCAGATAAGGTAGAAATGCAAATTTTAATCCAGGTAGGAGTGCAAGTCCTTGCTACAAACAATGCCTGTAAATCTGAACCAAGTTCAAGTATTGCACTCAGTTTGGATTTGCACTGCAAACAAATGGAGTCCATGGGGCTTAGGTAGATGCTAATAATTTCATGCTATTGTTATTTCATCTTAAGCCCTGTATCTACTGATAAAAGTGTTATGCAGCTTTATAACTCATTCTTCATGTGAAGGATGTCATTAGTTTATTTTTCATTGGCTCAAGTCTTCTTGTCACCTTATTAATATAGTAATTATATTTTCTATTTTTTCTTGTGCAGTTCATGGTTTTGCAGCTGTAAACTTAAAGATTGTCTTTCTTCCATTGTTGGCATTTGAAGTAATCATTCTTATTGACAATTTCAGGTATTTCATCAATTTCACCAATTAAGTGGTCATATTTGTATTTCCCCTTCTGGCCAATAATATTAACATTAGGTAACAAAAAAAAAGATACACCAAGTGCAAAAGCAATAAATTGAAGTATAGGCTTTACAAAGATTGTACATCATAAAAGCCATAAAGCCAATTTCTCATGATATGTACTTGGTTAGGCATTTACAACATTGTCTATATTTAGTTCCTATTTTATTATAAAAGTATAACAAGATGTCCAATTTCTAGTTATAGAACTTGTACCACTGCTTCTTCAATTTCTGAAGTAAATTTTCTTCAGTTCTGATGCCATGCTAATGATCAGTGTTTTCATTTCCTACTCAGGATGTGTAGGGCTTTAATGCCTGGAGATGAAGAAAGCATGAGTGATGAAGCGATATGGGAAACACTTCCTGTAAGTTCTTTTTAGTTGGTTAATTGTCTTGACTTCTTCCAAGCGTGTTACAAGGCATCCTTTCTTATCTACTGTAATACTGCCTAGTTATTGATTCTTTTAGCATTTGTCTATTGGTAACAAATCACAAGTGTTCATTTGATGAGGTGAGAAAGGAAAAGATGAATATACACCCTTAATACTCAAAGCAATGGGCCAAGGGGCTGTCATGTCATAAGAACAACCACAAAAACTTTGAGAGCAAATTTGTCAGAGATTTATAGGGAGAATAAATTGCTATACTAATAAAAATTGGTGTTTAGTGTACTATTTTTTAGATGGAAAAGAATTCTTGAAGTGAATTAACAATAATACTATTGAAGTGGATGGACAAACTGTTATTGAGATATCAGGACAGAACTAATTGCTTGACACTGCCTGCTGTTTATATATATATATGTTTATATATATATAATTAAATAGGAAAATTCCCATTTCTTTGCAATTTAAATGGGTAAGAAGGTCAGCAAATGGAATGGCTGACACTTTAGCTAAGCAAGGAGTTAGTAGGGAGGCTTTGTTTTGGGCCTGTCTGTAAGGTTTTTGTTCTGATTTTCCATCCATCCTGTGGGTGGTAAATTTGTAAGTTTATTTAAAATCATCAATGAAAGTTACCGTTTCCTATCCAAGAAAAATCCCATTTCTTTTAGTTTTTGAGAAATGTGCTTTGTGCATTTTTTTTTTTATTCCTTTCCTTTACTTTTCTTTTTCTGGGAGCAAGGTTACAGTTTGTTATTATGTGTCAGAAAGGTGGATGTACAGGATACACTTTTTTTTGGATTAGCAACTGATACAGGATGCACAATATTATGGACTATGACATAGAACCCACCCTTTCTGTACAGAAGAGACTTGTTTATTCCTGATTTAGCTAGGACACCAGCTACTGACTTTAGCCCAGTAGGAATACATCTGAACAGAAAAGGTCTTGTTGTTGAGATTTCTATAGCATAATTTAGTAGGTGATCCAGAATCCACAGCCCACTGACCACCCCCTGAGTCCAACTTATTGCATTAGCTGAGTTCCCTAATTGCTTTCAGTGGCAACAAAACCTAACTGGAGCTGTTTGATGATGCTTGCACCCATAGAGATAGAGGTGCTGCATCGCCTATCTACTACTGTAAGGTTCACAGGTTATGCATTTTTGCCCTCAGATTGAACATAAACAAAATGAAAAGGGAAGGGCAGAAAGCTAAAGGAATTGATGAAAGTGTCTTCAGAGTGAGATTATGAAGAGAAAGATGAATACAATAGACTTGTATTTTAATAAATAGTCTTACCTGAGATTGGAGATTAGTGTTTGGAGTACATGCACATTGTAAATTTAAAATTCAAGTTCAGATTGAATTCCATATGTAGGTGTAATCATTTCTAGGCAGGCCCGGAAGCCCTGCCCAGCCTGGCCTGCAATATATTTATGTTATATGCTATTTATATAAAAATATGTGTGTTATGTTATATTTATAAATATTTATAATATGACACATCATATGTTATTTAGTATTTTATATTATATAAGGTATAATACATATTTTATGCACATATTATATGTCATAAAATATGCAATATTATATAAACATTTGATATTTTGTTTTTAATGTTGTAGGGCCGGAAGCCTGGTCTTGCCCATGATCATCTCTATGACCATTACATATTTACATCTCTTTTACCGTATTAATGTTTATACGAGTAGAAGAAAGGGATTTCTTATCAATAAGGGGAAAATACAAGCTGTATGTACATGTAAAAGGATTGTAATAAAAGAAAAAAAATTTCAATTTGAGTGCACGCATTTTTAGTTTAATAATAAAACATTATCCTATTTTTCGAAAAAGCAAACATTATCCTATTCATTTGCTAGAATTCTATTAATGTGGACAGGCATGTTATGCCTGTTATTGCAATTGAACACCACTTAGATCCTTACAGTTTGAAATATGCCTGTGCTTATATATAAATATGTTGTAATGCTTTCACTTACTAAAACAATTTAAAGTGAATCAGCACAAGGTATTAGAATGATCTAATTATCATATATACTTATGTTTATCTCATTCTACAATGTTTATCATGAATATATTTTAACTTCTGAAATGCATTGCTTGTTAGAAGTATTTTCTGGGTCTGTTTTTATTTTGGGTTTATGGGTGTTGTCAACTGATTCTAAATTATCAATTCTTTCTTCTTACTTTTAGCACTTCTGGGTTGCAATATCAATGGTTTTCTTTGTTGCTGCTACAACATTCACCCTCCTAAAGCTATCTGGTAAATTACCTGCCTTCCTAAACTGTATCTTGCATTCATTTTGATGGGAATTATTTTTTATTTTTATTATTAGATTTTATTTACTTCTTAAGACCTTTAACCTTATAGGCTTCTGTTTTTCTTATAGACTTATTAATCTACATTTGTGGCCTGGATATGTACTTATAGACTTCTCTTTTTCTTTTTCTTTTTTTTTTTTTTTATTCCCACAATAGCAGCCATCCATGGTTAGGTCACTGCTTTTTTATATCCAGGTCTGTGGTGCAAAACCCCAGACTTGTAGACTTACTTACCTTTTGTGCAATATCAGTTTTCTGTAGCTAGACAAATACAATTTTGACCAGGTCTATGATAGAAAACCCTTCTTTATTTTTCCTTTTTTACTTTGATGGCTAAAGAACAATTGTTTTGTTAGAGAGGCCAAGAAGAGGAATTCTTCCAAACTTACTTGGCTAGCTGGCATTTTTACTCTAGATTCGTTATTTCCGTTCTTTCTTTTGGATTTACTTTGTCAACTTGGGATTATGTCATGGTTTAGGTGAAAGAAAAATGGCTATTGTTTGGAAGATCTTCATAAAAAAAGATTATAATTCAATACCAGGAAATAGAATCCTTAATATGTAAATTTTAGGAATATTACTGTTCATAAAAAAAGGAATATTACCAACTTGTGGTTTGGTGTTGACTCCAAAGTTTGAAGGTGAAGTCCATCTCTAGGTGCTGAATCCTAGAGAAGCCTAATGGTACTGATTCCATTAGGCTCTTATTTATCCCTACAACATGTATTTTGTTGATGTTCTACTTTTCTTTAACTTATCTGTTTTATTTTCCTCCAAATGGTCTCAATTTCAATTTTAGTGGACAATTTTAATAGATGATTTATTTGCAGATTCCACAGAATGATACTATATTCCTTTCAAGTGTTAAATCTAAGCCCTTGCAAGAGAAAAGATACTTTTCTAGTTGCACAATCTATAATGAGAAAGATTGCATCTAGCAGTCAATCTAAATTTTGCTAGATACTCTGGGTAACTTTCATCCTTTAGGGATTGGTGGAGCTTTCAGGGCAAGCAGATGATAATACCATTCTTCTTTATTCAGGTTCTGTAGGATCAGATGACTATCATTTTTCACCGATTGGTGGATCTATGAGGGTTGAGCTCTTGTTTTCATTTGAATTTTCCAATTAGCACATTCTGTGGGGGAACTCCTCATAATGTGATAGATTGGAAGAGGAACATATTGAGTGGCCCCCAGAGATTCAACTACTGAATAAGAGAACCAGGCCTTTTGAGTTAGTCTTTTATTGTTAACCTTTTTTTTTAGGTTCAGAGATGTGCTAATTCTTTAGTTGATTATTTTTTAATTTTTATCTTGCTTTTGTGATGGTGGGGGGTGGGGTTATGGGGTAGGTACAAAAATTCATTTTTTATTCTGGTTAAAGAACAAGCAAAAGGATACCTGTTTCACCTGCTTGATGACATGAGATGCCATCAGCGTTCTCCCTTTTTAATGATCCTGTGGTTCTGTAATTGTACTCTTTTGTCCATACAACTATCAGCATCCAGGAGCCACTTGTGTACACATACCTACATTTTGAGCAACTTTTCAGTGTTTTCTCATACAAGTATATTATTATGCAAGCATAACATGGTCCAGACATGCCTCAAGTCTGAGTGTTTTCTTTCTATGTTTCCTCACTTTTGGATGATTTTCTTGCCCTCAAAATCTCATCAATGACCAGGAGATATTAAGAACATTTATGCTTGGAAAGGACAGTTATTCTCTGTTCTGTAAACATTCTTATATTACTAAATCACCTAGCTTCTTGTTGATAATTTCATAACTGGAATTGAGGTACCTGTAAGTGGAACATTTGTTACAAAATTCCTTAGCTGCACACATAGTTTTCAGGCGCCAAGGCGAACCTAGGCGACAAGGGAGCGCTTAGTCGCCTAGGCGTTGCCTAGTGTCAAAACTAAATGTATTTTTCATAGTATTTCCAGGCTCAAAAATAAACCTTTTCTTCTGTAATATCTCAGAAATAACCATCTTCTTCATGCTGTTTCAAGGATAGTGTCTTAGAAATAACCATCGCCTAGTAAAAGAAGGGATTCTCTGTTTTTGTCATAGAAAAAAATCAAAAAATAAGGAGAAGAAAGGGCAGAGACCCCTTCTTTTTGTCTCAGAAAAGAGAGAGAAAAAACGATGAATGATATGAAGGAGATGGGGTGAAGCCCCTGTTCTTATTTTAAAAAAAATGCAAGAAAAAAACTTGAAAATGATGACAATTTCAAAAAACAGAGAAAAAAAATAAATGAAGAACAGAAATTACAAGGAGCGGAGCCCCTGTTTTTGTTCCAATAAACGAAAGGAAAAGAGTCAGAAATTTAAGGAGACTTATTTCTTATCCCAGAAAAAGGAAGGTGCTGATCTGATCCTCTATAAGAACATACCTGTATTCGACTGGTGTTACTTGTTGCTTTAAGTCTTCACTTCTTCAAAATCTTTGAAGTCTTTGAACTTCAGTTCTTTATCAATTCAAAAACCTCCGAAGTCTTTGATATAAAATTGATAAGCGTTTAGGCGAGGCGAGCAATAAAAAGCGCCTAGTCCCCTGACAACTATGGCTGCATATTAGCATAAATATGCAGCTTACTGCAGACATGCGAGCATATGTTCTGCTCTTATGTTTATGTTCACATGTAAATGCATGTCTACTTATATATGTTTGCATTCAAATGTAAATGCATGTCTACATGCATGCATTATGCATCATCTACAATTCATAATATACCATGTTATACTAGTCTCTTATATGACAACTTTACAGGAGAAGCATTTCATGGTTGTAGTATATTTTCCTTGGGTTATGTGATTAAATAAATTAAAAAATGAAAAAATGTCTTCTGAGTGCATAGTTTAATGTCCTGTTATGTTCACAGTGACTACTTATTTCCATAATACATTTATACAATTACCTCCTAGGATTTATATGGTGAGAAAGAGGGTGGGCCTTGGTGTAATGGTTGGGTTGATCCATTGCGACCTGGGTGACCAGGTTGCTTACATCTGTCCCCCAGACCCCGCATTGGTGGGAACCTTGTGCACTGGGCTACCTTTTATTTATATGGTGAGAAAAGCTTCTTGGTAAATTATGTTTTTGTGTTGCTGTTTTTCTGCTAGCGTTTCTGACTTTGATATGTTGCAAGGAGACTTGATATTCTGTATGTTTACGTTCTGACTAAAGAGAAGAAAAGAAAGAAAATTTTATACAGCGATTTGCAAAAAATCAAAATGGAATAAGACATACCCATTTGGAGAAAGATGACGAGCTGAAAATTTCACCAACAGCTATTGTCCCCCCACCAAAAGGAAAGAGAAAATAGAAAGATGAAAATGAAAAGGATCTCTTTTGTTATTTAAAAAAAATACAGTTTTAATATAAACTTATGAAGTATTGGTTTTGTAAAAATGCAGGTGATGTTGGAGCACTTGGTTGGTGGGATTTATTTATAAATTTTGGGTACTATTTATTTTGTTTTACTATGAGGCTACCTTAATAATGGTTATGGTATGGTATCTTCCCTGTCAAAATAACATTTTTATTTTTGTTCTTACAGCATTGCTGAGTGTTTTTCCTTTCTTGTTTGCACAAAGTGGTCCAACCCAGTGATACATAGACATTCTTTCAATAGAGAAGCCAGTTCATCTTCTATGGCTATTAGATATCTTGACTGGAACAATGGCTTAGTGGTTTCTTCAGAAGAGGATCCAGACCAAGATAGATTATGTGGCCTACAAGATATTGGTGGCCATATTATGAAAATTCCACTTATCAGTTTTCAGATTCTTCTTTGTATGCGGTTAGAGGTAAGCAAACTTCAAGAGTATGTCCATTTATAACATTACGAATTTTGGATGCCACACATCAAATCATGCATCTCATCCTCTATAATTTCAAATGTTAGGGAACACCGCCTGGTGCTAGACATATCCCACTTCCAGCTCTTTTCTCCCCTCTCTTCCTACTGCAAGGCACTGGAGTCTTGTTTGCCTTATTTAGATTGGTTGAGAAGATTGTCCTTTTAATTCGTAATGGAACTAGCTCAGAGAGATATTTCACATTTTCTTCAAGGGCTCGTGACTGCTTTGGGTTCTTGCATCATGGATCACGGTATTGCCTTGCAATTTTCTTCAGATGTAAACTTAGATGAACAGTGTCAGGCATTTGCGATCCATATTGGCATTGAAAACACTGCAAAGTCTGTATGGTAACTTTCATTTGTTTTATAATTGTTTCTGATTACAGGCTGCTTGGTTGGTGGTCAATTGATGAAGGAAGTCGAGAGGAACAAGCTCGACTTTACCAAGCTGGGGCTTCTGGGTAAAGTTTTATGATCTTCACTTGGTACTAGTTTAGTCAACCACCCGTGTTTTTTTTTTGTTTTTAATATCATTATTGTTATCATCATCTTCATCATTGTTGAGATTTTTTTTTGATCAATAACAACATTTCATTACTTAATCACAAAAGAATTACAGAGAGGAAGATAAACTTTCTTATCTTCCAAGGGGAGCAAACACTCCCAAGAACAAAAAGGAAAATTACACTTGTGCCCAAAACATTGATTCCCTCACGACTCCTTGCTTATCTAATCCATCCGCAAAGGAGTCAGTTGACCTTAACTTCCATCTCCTGAACCAGCCACCTAAACTTTCTCCTCTCATTACTGTGCATTCATAAACTGCTATTTTCTTTATTCAGCCACCCTACCACCACCTCTGAATCCCCTTCAATGAAGAGTGTTATATTCATTTCCTTGGCTCTTTGAACTCCTTCCAAAACTGCAAGTATTTCAGCCCTGAGAGAGTCACCCACTCCAACTGGGCCGGAGAACATGGCAGAGACAAGCCCATTCTCATCCCTAAACACACCTCCAATCCCTGATTGTTCAGGATTCCCCCGACTGCTTCCGTCGAAGTTTAGTTTTAAGAAGCCAGCTGGTGGGGGAGTTCAGGACACACACAAGATTGCTTTGGACTGGGTGCAGTTAGCAATCTCACCCCACTTCCTCAACAAATCAACCACTGTGAAATCTGTAAACAGCTCAGACGATTTCAGCCACTGAGCAACCCTTATGTGAATCAAATCTCTCAGTTCTTCATTACTTTTTTCTACCTCAGAAAAGATTTTGGAGTTCCTTTACTCGCATAGGGCTCAACAAACTGCAGCCCTCAAACATCTCCACATGGTCCTTCCCCTTTTCCAACTACACCTGAAGAAGGAAGGGGAGAAGAGTCTTTACAAATTTGGAGGAGGATTCCAGCTACACCCAAAAAGGGAAAGTGCCCACCCCCAAATGGACTTAACAAACTGGCAAGTCACCAATAGGTGAAAGCCAGTCTCCCCCTCCGCTTTACAAAGAACACACCAGTAAGGGGATAAACAAGTCTTGGGTCTTTTCTTTCAGAGCAAATCACCAATGTTGATTCTTTCCAGATAGGCTTCCCAACAAAAGCTACCAACTCTAGGGGGAATAGGTCTGCACCAAACCTCCTTAGTCGGGAAGGGAGGGCCAACAGGACTAGGAGGCTGACTTAGGACTTTGAAAAAAGAGGCACAAGAAAATGAGCCAGTGGGAGGGGGGGGGGGTCCAAATTCTAGAATCCAACTTAAAAGGGTCCAAGAAAACATTATCAAGGATACCTAGAAGGCTCGAGATACAACCCAAGTCTGTATCTCTCATAGCTCTTCTCAAACCCAAATTCCAACCAAACCCAAATGAGGAAGGCAAAGGGGTAATAAAGGAAGGAACTGGCTCATTTTTTAAATTAGAGAGGGCATACACAAAGGAAACAAATCCTTACGAGGGGCATTCCCCATCAAAGTTTGTACCCAGGATTTTATGGAAGTACCAGAGTTCAGATAATACCAGATGAGAGGGGAGAAAGAAGGAAGCAAGTCGTGAATGGGTTTTCCACAGTGATGTACTTGTGGTCCTTGCTCGGATCCCTGCATCCCATCCATTTTGCTCCATCCCATGTATGTTCACCACAATTCTAGCCCATAGTCTCTTCGTTTCTATTGGGAGCCTTCATAACCATTTCCCCAAAAGAGCCATATTCCTTTTCCCAATGTTCCCCAGCCCCAATCCACCAAGGATTTTACTTCCGGTCACCGCCTCCCATCTCACCCACTTCCCCAACTTGTTAGAAACCCTTGTAGGAATTTTAAATGGGCAAATTAGCTAGAGTAGCCTTAATCAGTGTAATCCTCCCACCAAGGGAGAGATAATTCTTCTTCCAAGAGGCAAGTCTTTTTTCAAATCTTTCCACCACCGGAGTCCAAGAACTCTCCTTCTTTGGGTTATTATCCAAAGGCATCCCTAGATAATTCAATGGCCAACTTGAGACTTCACAACCTAGAATTTTTGCACTTTCCCTGATCTCACCCTCCTCTAAGTTCACACCCACAACACAACTTTTTTCAAAATTCACCTTTAAGTTGGACATTTGTTCAAATAGTTGTATTGCCAGCTTCAAATTCCTGATATAATTCAGGTTCCCACCCTCACAAAACAGGACTATATCATTTGCAAACTGTAAGTGGGTAAGGGGAATATCCTCCCTCCCTATTCTCCAACCTCTAACAAGTCCCCGAGAATCTGCTCTATGAATCAACCTCCCCAAAACATTAGCAACCATAGTGAACAGGAAAGGAGAAAGGGGGTCACCCTGTCTTATTCCCCTAATAGCCGAAAAGAAACCCACTAATGTCCCATTCACTAGCACAGAATAATGAACGTTCCAAACACACCCGAAGATCCATTTACACCATCGAGTCCCGAACCCAAAAGTGGACATAACTTTCAATAAGAATGACCACTCCACCAAGTCATAAGCCTTTTCCAAATCCAGCTTACAAACCACTCCCTTCCTGTTCTTCTTGAAGTTCTCCACGCTCTCATTGGCAATCAGGATCTGATCAGTAATCTGTCTCCCACTCACAAAAGCTCCTTGATTTGGAGAGATTATTGTTGGCAATACTTCCTTCAACCTCAGAGACAAAACCTTTGCAATGATCTTATACAAGTTGTTTATCAGACTGATTGGTCTAAAGTCCTTAGGGTGGGAAGCATCTTTCTTCTTAGGGACCAATGCTAGAAAAGTGGGATTCAACCCCGGGTTGATCACACCTCTTCTATAAAATTCCTCAAACACTAGCAGAAGGTCGCCTTTCATGATCTCCCAACAATCTTGATAGAAGGCCATTGTAAAACCATTCGGACATGGGGCTTTTGTTCTATCCATAGAAAACACAACCTCCTTAATCTCATTTAGCTCAAACATTCTTTCCAACCTCTGCCTATTATCCTCCCCTACATTTGGCCAATCCAAACCTTCAAGCCATATCCCCCTCCTGATTGGCCTTCTTAGAATGGACTTAAAGTGTTCAACAAATGCCCTTGCTATTTCATTCTGTTGTGTTAGAGCATCACCATCCACTTCTAGTCTTGAGATCATGCTTTTCCTTCCCCTACCATTTGCCACAGAATGAAAAAAACTGGTATTTCTATCTCCCTCTTGCAGACATTTGTAGCGAGATTTTTGCCTCCAATTTATTTCCTCCTTAAGTAGGCATCCTCTAACTGACTTCTCAAGCCTCTCCTTTGTTCCTTGTCTACTTCTCCAAACTCACCCCTTTCTTCTTTCGAGTCAGAATTCAATTTGATCCATCAATGTACTCTTCCTTTCTTCTAATCTCCCGAATTCTAATTGATTCCACACCTTGAGCTTAGCTTTCAGAAACTAGAGCTTCTTATGAAATTTCATGCCTTCCCAATCCACATTTGGGTTACAATCACTCCACCAATCCTTAATTCTCGCATTAAAACCAGGATGGAGCAACCACATATTCTCAAACCTAAAAGGAGCAGGGCCTCCATTCATTCTCTCCTCTTTGCATAACACAATTGGTCAATAATTCGAGGTCAGTCTAGGAAGAGCCCTAGATGCAAGGTTGCCACAATGGTCTTCCCAGTTCAAAGAGAAAAGAAACCTATCCAGCTTAGAGCAAATAGGACTTGATTGGAGATTGGACCAAGTGAATGACTTTTTTTGGGCTAAGGGAATCTCTTTGAGTTCAAAAACATCCACAAACCGATTAAACTTCCTCATACTAGTTGTCACCCTCTGATTGCTAATGTTGGTTTCCTCCGTGAACCTAATCACATTGAAATCCCCACCCACACACCAAGGCCCATCCCAAAGTCCTCTGACATCAGCTAGTTCCTTCCAGAAATCCTTCCTCTCTCTGTAGTCATTCAGACCATAAACATTTGTCAAAACCCACTCGTAACCATCTGCTTGCTGCTTGAACTTCAGTGAAACTGAATATTTCTCAATAAGCTTTTTCACACCTTCAACCACATCCTTCTTCCACAAAGTAACTATCCCCCCCTGAGGCTCCCCATGAGGGGGCAGCCACCCAATTGATCCCCTAGCTCTTCAAAAACTCCTAGCCCATCTTCCATCAAAATCCATTCTTTTGGACTCCTGTATTAAAACAATGTCAGGATCAAACCGCTTTAAGACCTCTTTGATCGTGCTCTTTTCCTTGCACTTCCTAAACCCCTCACATTCCAGCTAAGAATCTTCATTGACAAGTCTCTCTCACGTCCCTTCTTCACCTGCCCACTACTTCCCCCCTTTTCTTCCATCTCCTTTCACCCCAAACTTTTTATCACCTTCGACATCCCTTCTCAACCTCGAAACTTCGCTCAGTTTCCTTTTCTTCACTTTGATATCTTCCTTTCTCTTCTGTAAGCCCCCTTTCAGGATGTTCAAGTTGTCCAATCTACAACCCAGTTTCCCCACAAAATCTGCTATTGAATCCTCTTTCCTGTTTCCTAATCTACTCCCACTTGGCCCCTCCCCTCTGATCTCAGTCATACCCTCCCGCCTCAAGACATTTTGTTCCAACTCATTAAAAACTCCTTCAATAATTTCCCACACCTTCTCATTTCTGTACCTTCCTAGCGGCTCCCCCTTCTGATCCTTCATCAGCCTCTCCGCAACACTAAGGCCTCTACCTTCAACACTGGCTTCACATACAGGGGCTGCAAAGCTTGGAATGGGAACGGAATCTGGAACAAAGGACACGGAAGACTCATCAGTAACAAAAACCAAATTGACTCGGTTACCTGGGATTAACTGAAGTGGTGGGGTTGCCTCTGGGTATAGATTCACGGCCTCCCGAACTGGTTTGGGAAGTTGGTAATTAGCTGCCCCCTTAAGTTGGTTGGGAGTCAGATCTGTCCTCTGGCTAATCTGGCAATCTGTCATCTTTCCCCAAAGTTTACCCCTTGCAGATGTATTCATGCTCTGCTTCAGGTTCTCCTGATTTGCCACACTAGTTGTGCCTTGCACAATCTGAAGCCTTGAAGAAGGGCTACTCCCACAAGGTTCAGCAGTCTCACTTGGAAGGTATACTGAGTTTGGTTGTTTCCAGTGTATCTTGTTCTTACTTTTACTTTAAGGTTATTGCAGTCTGGCCTGTTTTTTGACATGTGTATGATTCACAAAAACAAGGTACCTGGTGGTAGATTAGTTGTTGGCAAACTTTTGTTCTAGAATAGAACTTGAACATTAGTGCTCTATGCTGGCTGTACTAATCAGTGCATGTGATTGTTGCACAACTTGATAAATTGTTGGCAAACTTTAGTGCTCTATGCTAGCTACACTAATCACTGCATGTGATTGTTGCACACCTTACTATTGAAATCTTATAGTTGGTAAATAATGTTTCAACTTGGGTATGGAGAACTAAATACTCTCATTTTCTTTTGGGTGTAACTGAGAAAAATCAATTATATCAACTAAAGGCCAAGGTGGAAAAAATGAAGAGAATAAATCACAGCAAGGCAGCTTGACAGATGTTGTAATCCTTGATTTATGATCTACTCTTTGCACCTCTGGAGTGCATCTTCATTGTCAACTGCTACTAATGATAAGCACACTGATTTACAGCATACAGTTGTGGTCATGCTGAGTGGATGATTTTCTTTGGTTCATATTAGTCCTAGCTGGCTATCTTCTGGAATCCATTACCATCTTAACTTGTAGTTGTCAACTATGGAAAGGGAAAGCCTCCAATGTAGGAAATGTTTTCAACGTCCCATGCCTTGCAGTATTACATCTCCTATTGTTCTTCACCATTGTTTTCCTGCTTTTGGTTCTTGCTATATGTTGCAATATATCTGTAAGGTGTTTTCATACAGCTGTCTCATCTTCTGATGTCATTTTGTTGTGTTTTGTGTACTTATCGTGAAGATATAACACCTTCTGTGGTTACCCTCCTGAGATAGTGAAGAAAATGCCCAAAAAGGATCTTGCTGAAGAGGTACAAACCATTCTCTTTTGAGTGATCTCTTTCCTTTTATGCATTAAGTTGGCCAATGTTTATCGCTTTTGTTTTCGTGCCATAATTTCCTATAAAGAGCTCACCAATTTACTAACTTCCAAAATTATTATTTATTATGCTGCTTTCTTATGTGTTTGTTCAATTACTCCACTGCTATCTCAGGTGTGGAGACTACAGGCGGCTCTTGGTGAACAAACAGAAATTACAAAATATAGCCAGCAGGAGTATGAAAGACTTCAAAATGTAATGTTACTGACCTTACCTTGCAAATCTCCCATATGTGAATACAACTGCAAAGCTTGTGTAGTTTCATCTGTTGCATTGATCAGTCATGGTCTAGAGTGCTTCTATCTCTAATTCTGACATGGAAATGCCTATGTAAAGAAAGAAAACTGAAACGTGTTGGATTCCCCTAGCTGTACTGCAGCCATGTTTTAATGATCATTGTTTGATGCTTAGGAATTTTTATCAAAATTCCAACTTTTGGGGCTAAAAAATATTATTAGAATTTTATCAGTTTTGGAGATGCTTTAATCATTTTCAGAACTTCATTTTAGTTGCTTCAGAGGCTATGGTGGCATTTAACAGCTGTTAAATTAGGAACTGAAAACAAAGTACTGAAAGATAATGTGCCATTCAGCATTTCAATGACTCAAGGCCTACCTAATTGCTGAACATTGAATCACAGGTGTTAGAGTGATTGTTTGGCCTCTAAAATTTTATTATATACTGTGTAAAAAAATTATTATATACCAACAATACCCCTGACTTTGATACATTTTTAAATTTAGAAGCTCTTCATACCACTTTCAGTATCTTTTTTTCTGTAATTATCAACATCTCCTAAGATTAATTATTTATCTTATTCTACCTTTTAGGGTTTTCTTTTAAGTAATATAAATTATGACAGTTGCAACTAGTCTTTCATTTTTGTTCTCAAGAACAAAATTGGTCTTTCTTCTTATTAGTTCCTTTTGACAATTCGTGGATAAATCCATGCCATTCATCTTTTAACATCCTAACTAAAGCAGTTTCTTTTTTGTTGTTTTTCCCCTTGGTGGAAGTATTATTGTCCTTTAAAATCTTCTAGTGATATAACGGGGACTGAATGCTCTGCTTACTTGGTGGCTTTGGAAGATGTGAAACACAAACACTTCCATCAGTTTATTTTGTGTTCTCGATACATATAATATATCAATAGGTATATTAAAGAATATATCAAATTGAACTAGCTTCCTTCAAACTTACATAATGGTAGACGTGGTGACAGGAAAGAAATCTTTGATAAGTCAAGTTCTTTGAGTGAAGAAGTATCAGCGTGTGCTATACACGTGATTAGTTACCAGGACCTGATGTCTGTTATGACTAGATTGCAGACAATTTAGAGTGCCTTCACTGCCTATGAATAAATAAAGGACATTTGTTCTCATTATATTGGCTCCACAAAGATGATTGGTCTGCATATTTTCACTGGAGCGTTTTGTTTTCCCCATTTCCTTGAAAAAGCTGTTTGGGTTCTGGATTTTCTTCTCTTCCATTGGCAATTCTATGCAGATTGACAAAGTCAATCTGGGGTCTTGGGAATGGTAAGCGGATACGGTCCTAACCTTTGGCATAAAGTAATGGCCCCTATACCCTTGGCAGAGTAAACCTACTCTCAGACTCGAAACCATGTTTTCAAGCTTGCCAGCTTGGGAATTTACCATAACACAAAGTAATGGCCCCTAGCCCTATAGCCCTGGCAGAGTAAACCTACTAATTCTGAATGGAGAAAGAAATTTCAACAGTAAGTCTAGAAACACCTAGGTGCAAGGCTAAAGGTCAGAAGTGAAGCTGCAATGGGATAGTTATCGTACAAAATTTCTGTCAATGTTGTCAGACTTGGGCAGGACAGAACCATTTCGGTGACTGGGTCATGGGTCAAATGGTTCTACGGTCCAGTTCAACAGTTTGACTTGTTCAAATTAAAATGTGAAAAAACAAAAATGAAAAAAATATTGAAAATGATTCTAGGTTATTTTTGTAGCTATTTTACATCATAATAAGAGGGTGGTGGGCCTTGGCGCAATGGTTGGGTTGCTCCTTTGTGACTTGGGTGACCAGGGTTCAAATCTTGGAAACAGCATCTCTGTATGTGCAGGGGTAAGGCTGTGTACATCTGTCCCTTCCCAGACCTTTCATTGGCGGGAGACTTGAGCACTGGGCTGCCCTAATTTATCTCTAAAATCCTGCTCCAGTTATGTTGATCATATATATTTGTATGCAAGTGAGGCACACGTGATGTTAAGAACCCACAATTTTTTTAATGTCTTTAGATGGTCTGCTGTTTTAGTCTTATGCATTTACACTGCTACAAGTATGTCATTGGCCTGTGGTCTCAGCCAAAGATTAGAATGCCTAGATATGGTGGGTATTTTAAATGGAAAGGTTTTAGATTTCAATTTTAAACTAGATTTTGACCTGGTTTCAAACCAGAATCGTTACCACGTTTTTAACAGGGATAGAGTTCCATAAAGGCATTAATTTCTTTTACATGCCAACTTCATTTTAGTCATTATCAAAACTGGAATTAAACTTAAAACTTCTGGATATTTCATCAGAACTTAAATCCTTGGGAAGTGAATAACTGGGAGGCCTATCATTTCTTGAAATCCACAACTAACCAGGCACATTCTGATGACGGGTTTCCAATTTTAAATTCGTGAAGCTATATACTACCTTTTTTCATTTTAAAATGCTGGGATATTATCTGAAAAAAATATAGATTCAAGGATTTGTCTATGCATGGGAGTATGCTGTTTCATTATTGGGATGCAGTGCAACTATGCAAGGATTTTCTGGTCAAAATTTTCAATCTATTCATAAAAAAAAGCCATGATATAAATCCAACTCCTTATTTATCAAGTTATTGGGTATTTTGTGGTGAACTTATTTTGTTTGAGTTTGTATGGCAAAACAAGATTTCCTCTCAGTGCTCTGTTCTTAGCTTATACTAGTTCCTTTTTCCAATGTCAAGTTCCCCAATGGTGCTTATTATGATTACTTAGATGCATTGTTCAGGAAAAGGTCTTATGTAGGATTTGCTTTGAAGGGGAGATCAGCATAGTCCTGCTTCCATGCAGGCATCGCATCCTTTGCAGGTATCTTCGTACTGGACTTTGCGTCTAGATCACCCCAGTATGTTTTACTTTCGAGTGTCATTTTGATTCCTTGTTGTGTTCTACAGTACCTGCTCTGAGAAGTGCAAAAAGTGCCCCGTGTGTCGTGTTTCTATTGAGGAACGATTGCCTGTATATGATGTATAGCTTTTAACTGTACTTAATCCCTTCCCGCATGGAGGCCGAGGCTGGGGAACTGATACATAGTTTACAACAAGATTGCCTTTTACCGAGTCCTGACCAGTAAGCTGTTGTCTGTTTCATTAACTGAGATAAACATTAGGAGAGATGGAAGGTGGTTGCTCTCAACGTGTCTTTAGGTTGTTTTCTTTTCCTGATTGTATATACACACACTATCACACACATTTGTCTGGAAAAAGTGTCATCAAAGGTGCAAGGAGGCGTGTTGTAATTGTGAGTCTTCAACGTGTATTTGTTACTTTACTAGACAGAAGCTCTGAAATGCAATCTCTTCATTTGTCATTGGATTTGTTGATGATATGGTTCTGTAAAATCATCATCTACCAGAGCTTTGTCATCCTCTTGATTGTTAAAAACGAGTACAGCTTTTATTTTATTTTATTTTTATATAATGCATATGGTGTATTTTTATATAATGTGGTGCCAGGTCCAGTACCCGTAATATCAACAAAGGTGGCCTACTTCACTTGTTAGTAGTCTTCATGAATCAAGATTTTTCTAAGGTAGCTGAATCACATTGTTTTCATTAATGTGCTAGTAGTATGGTGGTAAATTAATGCATCGTACTAGGGACTAGTGTTTCTAAGTCTAGGGCCGCCTGCTTTTTTCAGTCGGAAAAAATAATCCTTTACGGATTGGATTATATAGGACATTGGAGTGTACTTTGGCTCCTTTAAAAAAAGAGGGAATGGTCAGTTTCATGGTGGATTTTGAGAGATCGGATCTGCTCCTCACACTGACCTCACACAGCGTGTCCTGGTGGTGGTATATCGGGAACATCTCCCTTATTTGTATTTATTATTCATGGGGAGATGTTCCCAATACATGGTGGAATGTGGTTGTGAGATCGGAGTGAGGAGCATATCCCAAGTTTTTTTTGAAGGTTTAAAGGATATTTCATTCATTCAAGAAATTGATGTTAGTACAGAGAATTGCCAACAAGGTTACAGTTTCTCAAGAACAAAATATATAAATGAATGAAAGAGTGAGAACATAGGGCTCAGTTTGGTAGGAGTACAAATGCAAATATGTAGAGTGCAAATACATACAAAAGGTTTTGCACTCTACATATTTACATTTGTACTCCTTTCAAACCGAGCTTAATGAATTTCTGCAATCAAACAAAGGGTCACCAATAGAAGTAGATAAGTACAATTATAATCCACCAATATATATATATATATATATATATATATATATATATATGTTAAAGGAAGGCTTTCAGGCTATAACCCCCACTATGCACGTAGTTTTTTCAAATTTAGACAAATGACATTTTTTGTGTAGTTAAAGCCCACAGTTCACTATCACCATTCAGAAAAGTGGCATTCTCATTTTTTAGAAAGTTAAATATGTGATAATTTCTAAGAAAGTCCTATTAAAGTCCATAGCCCACTATCAGGTTACAATCACCCACACATAGCCTTTTTATTTTTCTGGAAATCTAGATACGTGCCATTTTCTGAGTTAAAGCCCACAACTCACTACTACAGTTTTCAATACATTCTTAAAGTGGATTGTGCCTACATTCTATCAATCTTAATTAATTATTAACCCTTTATGTATCATAACAAAAGAAAACTATCCATATTTTAAAAATTATTGAAAAGTTATTTTTTGAAAGAAATATCTATTGAAATTTTAATAATTATTTAAAATATTAATAAATATAAAATTTAATATTATTGATTCCATAATGTAAATTTAACATTATTGATTCCCCATACTTGGTACGGGGTCATTTATTAATTTATTTTGAAAAACAGATCTCAAATCGGATTATGAAACCACGTCACAATAAATGTTTTTTCAATACATGGGTGATCGTGGGCCTTGATATCCACCGTGAAAAGGTCCCATTCTATTTATGATATGCAGCGTCTCCTACTTTGATCTCTTTCCTAGATTACTTGGCAACAAAAACAACAAATGAAGATAGCCCTAGCATTAGTCTTTATAGATTCTGGATGGTTGTATTTCTATTTCGATTTCGGTTCTACAATATTTATTTCATCATCTCTTCTGGGTACTTGATTGTTTTCTGTAATGAATTTTTATGGAGTGAAGTTTTAACCACCCTAGCTGGATCATATGGTCCAATTGTTTGACCTATTACCTAGCCCTGAAATTGGTTTTGTTTGAGGAAGGACAGGTTACATTAGATTTTTAAGCTTATATTAGTATAAAATGGGTATGATAGATACAGCTATTGGCTTTTTTTCATGGTAAACTCTGGTCACTCTCCCCCCACTATTCCTTATGGCTTGTCGGTCTAGTGCCATCGGTTCCCTTGTCTGTTATTAGTACCCGTTGTGAGGGAGTACATTTGCTGCTGCACTCTTGTGATCCCACCAATAAAATTCTGAAACTGGAACACACCAGTGGTGGAAAGTGGAAACAAAAAAGCAATTCATACGATGTTTTGAATTTATTTCCATTTGTTTACATGTTCGTGTTTCATTTGGTGGTTGCAAAACTATATGAGCTCACTTTCATGTTGTTATTTTTGGCTTTGTGAGGTGGAGCCTACTTGGACAACCTACAAACAAGAGAGCCCAAACCAACCGGTTTTCAGACTTATTGTCCAAGTCTTAAGCAATTCAACCAAAGCCTTAGCCCTCCCAAATGGGGCCATATATTTCTCTTGGAAGAGTCGGAGTTGTCCTTCGTCTTAACATGGCCTTCTAGTAAGGGACCCAAAAACGCTCAGTAGAAGCTTTAATTTTTGAACTGCAAGGTAAAACTTGAGCCTAGAGATGAATCCGTTTAGTTGAGCCAACCTGCGTGGTGGACCTAATAGGATTAGGGCTGGCTTTTTTAATCTTAATCTTTGATCATAACTAGGGGGTGCAAGTCAGGCCGAGTTAGATTGGCCTAATTCAACCCAAGCTGTTGAACTCCCAACCTTAATGCTAATCCAACTATAAGTTCTTGGGTTGGATTCAGATTGGCCTGATTTCTCTATTTCCTTTGGCCAAATATTCTTATTTCGGAGGATTGAGGCCAATTTGGTTTCTGTATTGTAATATGTAAAAGGACAGTTTTGTTTATCATTCTTTAGAAAAAAATTGCCTATAAACTTAAAATTATTGATATACATACTCAATACATGTGAATATATACAACACATACATATATAAATATATATTTAGGCACATTTATAAATGTATAGCGGCATCAAGTACATACATGCATACATACATATATACACAAATACTTGCATACATGAATACATGTTTACGTGTTATTTATACAAACAAATAATGAAGTTAAGTCAGGTTGGTTAATGCTTCAGTCCTGAACCCAACCTGAAGTTCGAGTCAGGTTCATGCTTTTCAACCATAGCCTAAACATCAACCTAACCCAAGCCAGATTGAGTTTGGGTTAACCCAGCCCAAGTTGTAGTCTTAATAATAATGCAGCCTCGTGGCCCACAACATTCTAATAGCTTTGCATGGGATAGGACTATTGTCTTGTTGTCATGGGGACCAATTCATTTTAGCCAAGGCAGTGTTCACTTCGTGGTTCCGAAAAGGGTGACATGGTTCTTTGAAAATTGCAATACTTTTCTTTGAACCATGCAATGAAAGAGAGGTGTTGCTCTGTTCGTGGTATGAACCATGGATATGTGAACTTTCACTCTTCATGTTCTCAAAAAAAAAAAAAAAAGATATATTGAATAGAGACATGACCAGAGCTTCATTGGTGTGTGAGAGTCTTATCACTGATATGCCATACTTATACAAGTGAACCATGTTACCTGATTGAGAAATCTATACTATTAATAAAAGAGTGAATAACCCCATTTTCTGGACTTTTCATTAGACATTTTTATCCCTTATTTAAGCAACATACAACAGGCACAGAAAATGGCATATATGCCCTTTACTCTCACTCCAAAAACTGCTCACTTATAACTGTTAAGAAACTATTCACTTATAACTGTTCAAAAACTATCCACTTATAATATTTAAGAAACTTCCCACTTATAACTGTTAAAAAACTGCTCATGAATTGTAAATAGTTTTGTCTTGGAGATATTGTCACATACAAATGCATATACATGTTTACTAGTTTATAAAAAGTTTACAATGAATCCTGATTGGCTGGAGACAAAATCATTCACATCTGGCTGGCTACCTATCACAAATAAACACACCACATATTCACTATGGTCCCCATCCGTACTGAATATTGGCATGTTCACTTGTTATAGGTAACCCAGCCCGATGTGCATGATTTTGTGTCCAATTCATCCGGACTGCAATAGTATTGTACAGAGTGCCTGTTAACATCATAATCCGTTTGTAAGACAGATAAAACATTAATGCAACCATGAAACGAAAACCAAAGTTTTAAAAACTGACCTCGAGATGGAACTACATTGGCCTTCAATAAGCAGTTCAACCATCTCAGTTGAACGATTCAACCTGTGATGCCATAAATGTAATGATAAAATATATATTAGGATAAATTACACAGACCCCCCTATACTATGGGGTCTGGGACAAAGACCCCCTAAGCTTGTTTTTGAACAAAAACCCCCTAAACTTTTACATTGTGACCTTGGCCGTTAAAGTCAGATGACGGAAGCGTTAAATTACCAAAATCTCCCACTAAACCTTCTCTATTTTCCTTTTATTGACATTCTCTTTTAAAACCTAATTGACCCAAAAATGCGTTCAATCGTTGTTCAACGCAATCACAAACACAAACGCTGCTCCACTGCCATCTCCTCCACCCCCACCCCCACCGCAGTGCCATTAATTCCAATACCACAACCACCTCCATTTTGAATGTCAGACCTGAAATTTGTGGTTCGTGGTGATTACATCAGAATACGAAGTAGAAGCAGCTCTCGTGACAGCTCAGTGAGCTCGCAGACATGCATTTTCATCGATCTCTCATCAACGAACCGACACTTGTGCAAGCCGTGATGAACGGCAAAGATATGGTTGGATCAGGATTCAGTTCAAGCCCAGAGGTGGGTGGATCACCACTCTGTCCGAGTCCAGACGTTAGCACCAAAAAGAATGTTCTCGGCAAGGCCGTTGATCCGATCACCAATAATTCCTCCTCCTCTTCCTCCACCCACCGCAGTCTCCATTAATTCTAATACCACCACCACCACCACCACCTCCATTTCTATTACCTATTTTTTCAAATTTTTCTTGGTTTTCTGGAATAACAACTTTCACTATTGGAGAAGGAAAACAAGTGAAAAGCCAGGAATGGTCCATTGATCAATGGACTTATGGACCCAATTGCTGAATGTTGATAAGTGAAAGAATTCCATTGTCTAAATGTGTGTCTAGAATAGTTTTGAGTTTTCTGAAATACTTGAAAATTCATATGATGAGAATGAAGTTCCCAAACAATAAGAGACCCACAGGCGGCAGTAGGGGTGTCAAACTGTCAATTGGATTGGATTTGGTCCAATCCGATCCAATCCAACGTGAATTCATTATAAATGGGCCAGGTCTAATCCAATCCAATGAATATTATGGACCATTTTGGATTGGTCCAAATCAATGTTTGAACTTTCCAATCTGTTCAAATTCGTTTTGATTTAGATTAGTTTCAACTTTTAACTCAAACCCAGTCCATTAACACCTATATTCTTATCTTAAATCAATGGACTAGATATTGACTTAATCCAATCCAATCCAATATATATTTATTACAAAAGGGTCAGATCCAATTCAATCTAATAAATATTTTGGACTGGATTGGTCCAATTCAATATGTTTTTTTGGTCCATCCAATCCATCCAAACTGATTTTAGACTGGATGGGGTCCAATCCAAAACTGGTCCATTGACACTCTTTAGGTGGCAGAGAGAGAGAAAGGTCAACGAAGAAGAAAGAAGAAGCAATTAATGCTGACAGGGAAAGTTCAGCAAGAAGGCACGGATCCCTTTAAAAAGCAAACGCCATACTATCAGTAGAACCGTTGATGCTTGAGAGGAAGCTCTGTCCTGCGACTCAAAATGAAAAAGTGGCTGAAACAGTCGCAGGCTGCCCTTGGTGCATCATTCTTATGGCTTATCTGCTTGATCTACTTCACCCAGACTGCCTTTGGTGCAAACTCGTGATCCTCCTTGACACAGGAAGGGCAGTATAAACTAAGGGTGCCGGTTTTGGATTAGACCCCACTCAGTCCAAAATCAATTTGGATTGATTGGACAAATCAAAAAGACATATTGGATTGGATCAATCCGGTCCATAATATTTATTAGATTGGATTGGACCTGATCCATTCGTAATAAATTTATAATGGATTGGGTTGGATTAAGCCATTATGTGGTCCATTAATATAAGATAAGAATATATGTGTCAATCATCAAAATGAATTTGAACAGATTGAACTGTTCATACATTGAATTGGACTGGTCAAAATTTGTTCAAAACATTCATTGGATTAGATTAGACCTGGTCCATTTATAATGGACTCACATTGGATTGGATCAGATTGGACCAAATCCAGTTCAATTGACACCCCTAATATAAGCAGTACAAAGTGTTAAAAAATGATTTATTAAATTAAAGAAAAAAATAAATTTAAGTTTGGGCATTTAAAAAAAATTAAACAGTCATAAGAATCTTTTTCAAAATTAACTGACGAAACGCTAACGGAGTGGGGTCATTGTCTAACTGCCAAAGTTTAAGAGGCAAAAAAAAAAAGTGCAGGGGGGGGTTTTGTTCCGTGTAAATTACCCTATATATTAATATTAAGTATTAACAGAGCATTAGTATTGCACCCATTCGGTTCCAGACGTCCAGTTGCCGCTCAAGAGGACTCTGAGTTGGTCACCTGCGAAAGAGGTAGACTCTGAGTTGCAGAGACAGAGACAGAGATAGATCAGACTCCACTTTTATAGAAATAAAATTATAAAATAGAAACTTTGAATGGCGATATGAGGTTAAGTGGTGGATTTGTTACCAACTGTTAAGCTAAGAGTGCAAATACAAATATGTTCAATATAAAGTTTAAAAATACAAATACGGACCATTGCTTTAAGTAAAGGGACCATATTTTTTTTTTTAACCCCAAACTTTATTTCAGATGGAGGGGCTGCCATCTTAAATTTTATTAATTATCCAACATCAAAAGAAAGATAAAAAATACAGGGGAGAGGACCACCTTGCCCAAAGAACCAAAACAAGAAAACTCTTCTTTACCCACTCCACTGTACCCATCCTCGTAGAATTGCAAATAAGGAATCTTCTCAAGAAGAATTTTGACTAGGCATTTATTGTCACTCTCCAGTCTCCACCTCCACCTCAATGATTACTTTGTTATGGTAAAGAGCAAATCCATCAAGAACATCCATACATTCAGCGCTTACTGAGGACCCCAAACCATAGTAGTTGTAAAAACCAAAACAAAAGGGGAAAATCTATGATGCGGGAAAGACATGGTATCGGAAGAGTTTTGATCAATCAAAACTCATTCATGAATTTTATTCCATTTTCATTTCTAACAATACCTCCACCAGCACTCTCACCTGGATTACCCCTACAAGCCCCATCAACATTTAGTTTGAAAGGAAAAAGAGCAGGGAACTACCAATACACCCATCGTAATCTTTCTTTTTTAATAGGTTTGATAGGAATGTGTAAAATGTATAGCGCTATAGGATGCCTATTAGACATTGAAGCTGGGCCTTACAACCATACCATATCTTTTCCGCATCATAGATTTTCCCTTTTAATTATGATAGAAAAAGGGACTTCTTTACCCTCAAATCTCCGTGTACATACTCTCTTTCCAAATAGTCCACAATAAAATTGATGGAAGAACTCTAACGAGATGATGGATTTGAGAGTTTTTAGAAGCAGTAATCCATCAAAGATTCACCCCCATCCACAACATGTAGTGCATGAATGATAGGAACCCCAAATAAATTGCTACACAAAACCCACAATTTATTAGTTAGAGCACCACTAACAAAGACATGATTAACATATTCTTTCACAAGGGTATCTACAACAACAACATTTTGAAGCTAATTGAACACCTCGTCTCTTAATTGTATTGTCCAGAGGAACTACATCATGCAATAACTTCCACATATAAAATAAAGACTTTTGTAGGTAAAACTGTTTTCCAAATTGCTTTATACCATTCAACTTGAGGACCATAGTCTCTTATTACCTCCCATGTTGAGGAGAGAGAGAAATTTCCATTAGCATTACATTTCCAGATAAGCCTGCCATCGTCGTCACTGAATGAAAATTTAGAAGAAGTTTGTAAAATCTTGTTTAATGAGATTGTAAAATCATTGCTTAATGAGATTGTAAAATCACATATGACAAGCACCAAAACATATCTTTTTTTTTTTTTTTTTTCTGGTATTCGGTGTCATGCACCATTAATAACTTTCCCTTTGACCCCTTTTCCCCCGAAGTGTTGGTTGCAGGATTTGATTCCATATCAACACTGGAACAAACCAGTTAAAACACCAACGAGCCAGTCCTCCATTGGTCGCATGAAAACATATCCGATCCATCCCTCTTGTTAGTGTCAAGTATGTTGGGGTAGTTCTATCTTTATACTTATGTTTATGTGCTGATGTGTAAGATTATGTTAGATTTAGTGTCCCTTACTTAAGTAGGGGCACATGTGTCTTTTCCACAATATAAATAATATAAATTAATTCTGGCCAAATGAGAGAGTGATCTTTCTTTCTCTCATTTGAACCAGTTTTTTCTCTCTCTTTCTTCTCTTCTCTTCTTCTCTCTCTCTCTCTCTCTCTCTCTCTCTCTCTCTTTCTCTTCCTTCTTCTTAACTGTTATCAGCTCAATAGAATTCAAGGGCAAGCCGAATCCTAATACCTCCAAAGATCCTACTTTAATAGGCCCACAAATTTAAATTTGTGAGCCCACATCCACAACAATACAACAATCCATGGGGCCATTGCACCTTTAAAGAGGAAAAAGAACTGATTTACCAATGGAGTGACAATTAGTTAATTCACTCAACCCAGATTGTGAAACTTATAAATGAAGTCAGTCTTAGGGATCTTGGAGTAACTCCAAGAGGTGATAAAATAAGAGAAAGGGTAAATTGCAGATAGGTTACCTTATAATTTGAAGGTAAACTCATTTCTAAATTTGTCACTTTTAAGAATATTCATTAAAGTTCCACTCTGTTAAACTAGTGGTACGGTTTGGGATAAAATTATGAAAATGTCTATGTTCTGATTTTCTCTCTCCCCACTATTCATTTTCTACCTTTCGCACTACGGATGCAAATAAATAGTACCAAATAGCTCACCCCAGTATGTTAATTGGGAGTACTTTCACTTTTGGACGATCACTTTGCCGCCGTTGATTTGCATCCAAAATCCAAAGGTAGAAGACAGATGAATAGTGAAAAAAAGAATTAGAACTTGGGCATTTTCATAATTTTATAATTTAACAATAGATATCTAATCAACTCCGATGAGGCTTGGATGATGATGATTGATTTATTTATTTATAATCTACAATTCAAACATTTCCAAAACACTTAGATCTAATGACACCCAAAACAAAAGAGGAAAGTACAGACCATTGAATAATTTAATTAAGAAATAATTGCTTAAAATGGGGGAATGAGGAGAGGATGTTGTCATGTTTCCACTTGATGAAAACGCCACGAATCCATCGATGCCATAAATTGGTAAACAGAGTTGGCAATGGATCAAGCACATGTTGCAGCAACAGGCAACGATTCAACAATAGGGTTTTTGCTGAGTCCATCCTCCACAGGTAACGAATCCACCATGGGTTTCACTCCCTCCTCGGCTACTACTGGCTGGTCTAGTACTTTCCCTTCCACATATTTACTGAAGCTCTCTTCTATGGTCTTGAACGGAGCGTCTGGATAGAGAGAGGTCACTTCAATTTCGTTTGGCCCATCAATGGCGAAATTAATCTGACATCCCTTGATGAAAATGTCATGGGTGAGAGATGCCACAATACTGCGTGGGATCACCATTTCTGCAAATATTAGGAAATCATAAGAAGAAAAAGAAGAAGAAAGAATGATTATTATATTCTAAGTAATTTGTTTTAACCTTGGGCAGCTGTAAGTAAGTCGTTCTCTGTGACCGTAACTCTGGGGAGGGTCCTTCCAATGATTTTCTCCCACAAAGAAGCAAGCTCGTTCATGTTTAGGCAATTGCAGGCTGGTCGGAAATGAACCAATTTGTTGAGGGTACGGGCGTCGTCAATGGCTTTCATGGTGAGTTTTCCGATGTCGGTGCCGTCGACAAAATAGGCTGTCCAACATCAAAGACAAAATCATATTATCAATTCAACCAGCTGCAAGGGGAACATAGGAATTCAAATAGGGGGTATATCCAAATCTAAATTTGATCCTAGGAAATCAGAATCCCATTCAATTCCCTATTTGAATCCGATTCATTTTTGTATTTAGATATCCAAATATCCAAATTGGGGTCATTGGTCATAAGTACCTGTTACCTAAAAATTATATTTTTCAAGACAAAAATAACCCTACGTGTTGGCTCGTATGTAAAAGGAGATCGGCTTCACTCACTGCAAAGCCCCTTCAACACTCCGTACTTGTATATTTTTTAAGACAAAAATACAGCCATGCATAGCAACATCTCCCTACTTCTATGTTTTATTTCATGTGCACATATTTCCGATGCAAGGCTATTATGGTTGTTGTTGTTTGAATGGACTTTGCAGTGACTACTGAAAGGCTTTTTTGACTTCTCACGTGTAACGCGCATGCATGTGCTCAAATGCTCTTCTTTTGGACCACATAAATAAGGTTCGTTTGGTTCATAGTTAGAATTGGAATCGGAATGGCCTATTTTCATAGTCTGTTTGGTTCAACCAAGAATGGAAAGGGGAATTAAAATCAATAGAAATAAGATTTCATGTTCAAGGGAGGGGTAGGGAATGGCCATTTCCTTAAATGGGAGAATGTCAATCCAGCAGAATGGGAATGAGATTTCAATTCTGTCTAACCAAGCAGCTGAAATCAAAATAGCCCAATTTATAGGGTTAAAGTACATTTGGGGTAGGTGTTAGGTCGGAATTGAAGTCAATTCACGGGCGAGCGGGCATGGGTGCATAGAGTGTGGTTTTTAAACATTTTAAATGTTTATATAACTGTGTTGTGGGAATCAGATTTATACATTGGGTATATCTGTATTTCTCCGATAAATCAAAGCCTTTAGCAATAACAAAAATAAGCTCCTTCCCCGTAGTGAGATCCCACAAAAGACATGTAGTCGATAAATCATTTGTTGACAAGTATGCATCATTAATTACCATTAGGCACCAACCAGCAGAACAATAAATGCTTAACCTTCCCCAACGCATACATAAATCAAGACCAATTTTAATCAATATCTATATATATGAATCGAGATAAATAACATGACACTGTTTATCAAATAATTGAAAGTCATACCAAAATACCACCAAAATCAGATCAGGTTTTTTGACTAATCCTATAATTTTGTTCAGCCGATAATGAAAATATGAAATAAAATTTTACAAAAATAATAATAATAATAATAATAAAAGTAAGGGTATGTAAATACAAACCTTTAACGCTGCCATCACCGTAGATGTGGAATTCGTCCAGTGGGGGAAGAACCTCGGAAGGATGAGTGTTGTCGTGGTAGGGCCAAGCGGCGATAGAGTTGCAGCAGATGTAGGTGTAGGGTATACCGGACTCTTCCACCATCCGCCTAATCTTGCGCTTGTTGTTGTACATGGTGAGCCCAGGTTCCACGGGATCAGCTCTATCTATGTCATGCCCGAATTCAGATGGCAGAAATCTCTGCAACCGTGCAAAATTAATATTTTATTAATTTTTTGTAAAAGAAATGGAATTAAAAAAAAGAGGGTAAAATACAAAAATTTCATTTGAATTTCTAACAATCATAAAAACCTTTCTTTCATTTTAACAAATACTTTTCTTAAATTTTTGAGAAATTCAACAAAAATCTCTTTTCTATCACTATTTCAGACAGAAAACATTAGACTGATGCCCCAATTTTTTCCACATATCCATTATACCCTTTTATAAATTATTTTACATACAGAATTACTGAAATAATTTCATTTTAACTCAATATTTCAATAATTTTGTATGTAAAATTGCTGTAATGATTGTTAAAAGAGTTTTTTGTTGAGTTAAAATAAGGTTATTTTAGTAATTTTGTATATAAAATAATTTATAAAAAGATAAAATAGGTATTTGGAAAAAACCAGTGCATCAATCTAATATTTTCCATCTGGGTCATAAGGGAGGTTTTTGTTAAATTTCTAAAAAATTCAGGAGAGACATTTGTTAAAATGAAATTATAAAGGAGGTTTTTATGATTATTAGAAAGTTAAGGGAGGTTTTTCTATGTTACCCAAAAAATTAAAAGAAAAAGTAAACAACAAAACCCATTAAAATAAGCTGCAAAAGCCGAAAAGCGTCGTTAAAGTTAGGTCACTCCTGAAACGACATTGCCCATTCTTGTTGCTGCATTAATAATGGCAAGGCAAAAGGGGAGAGAGAGAGAGACGACAGGTGACAACGCTGTTTACCTTAACAGTTCCGACGGAGCTAATGGCGTCGACAAGGTTGAGCTGGCCTAAGATGCTATCCCCTCCAACGGCTGATATCACCACCTCGATTTTGTGCTCTTTTAATATCTTCTCCATTAATTCACGGTCATCCATCTTACCCTGAAAGTATTAAATTCATTCAGATTTTCAGAGAAAGAGAGAGTGAGAGAGAGAGAGACATAGATAAAGGCAGAAAGAGAGGGTACGTGTAGGATGATGGCTCCTTTGTCTCGGAACGCTCCGATGAGCTTGGCCTTGGAAGGAGTGACTGGACCGGGGCGGACAAGAATATAGGTGGTTCTACCGGTGGCGAGGCTAGCGTCGGCGACGAAGCCACCAATGAAACCGGCAGCACCAATGATGAGTGTTGGACTGTCTGGGGTCTCTGGGGAAGCCTTGGAGTTGGCGACGGGCATCTCTGCTGGGGAATTCGGGGTCATGTTGTTTGATTTTGGGGTTAAGATGTTGTGGTTGTGCTGTGTTGTCTACTCACTCAGTCTTCTTCTTCTTCCGAGATAAGGGAAGAGAAAGAAAGACGAAGTTAAGGACTCAAAACTCAAAAGGGTGTCGAGGCAGAGAGTCACGAAATTGCTGGGGAATAAATAAGGAAGGGATGAAGGAAGGTTATTATAAGATGTTTTTGTGTTAGGGTTTAAGGTTTTAAGCTAACCCCCGAACCAAACAGTCCACCTGCAGGCTGGAGGCTGCAGCCAGCTCCTTCAGTGTTATTTAATTCTAGCCTTTCCTTTTTTGCCAACTTTTCAGATCTCTTAATTATTCCTTCTTTCTTGTTGGTGATTGCAGAAGGGTAGGTGAGACTTGAGAGAAGTGAAGTGGGTCGCTCTTGGTTTTCTTCCTTTGGACTTTTAGATGGATAAAGAAAAAAAAAAAAACCAGAAGTCAGAACCCTTCTGCTCCGTTTCCACAGTATCCATAGGCATAGCTAATCGTTTTTTATCTCTCCGCTGTTGCTTGCTAAAAGCTTCACTCTTCAGAGAATAAGAGCAGAATATATACCCCCAACACTTGAGGGTCAGTGTTGGTTATCCAGGTGGCAGCATGTCATGGGCCAACTTCCAACCCTGATCAACTATATCTAGTCATGATTCATGAGAGAGATGTTAAGGTGTAATTAATAAACACTTATCCACCGTCTTCTTAGCTAGAGTTCATATTAGGTAATTGATGAGGGCAGATTTGGCCCTCCAATGAAATTGCGACACGTGGCACCTCGTGACAACTAGGCAAACACCCAGGCAACAACTTACCAAGTTGGTGTCCCACCCAGACACCGGTCTGGCCAGCCT